ATCACCCTCAAAGGGACCCTACTCTGGAGAACTACTCGTATCCACCCTAAACCCTAAACCGTATCCAAGTCACGGATGCGTCCCTGCACGAATACTTGATTATTGGACCACCGACCTCCAGAGCAACAAGTCTGCATACCCAAACCCAGGGTTTGGGGTTCAGGGTTTACCTATAGTCTCCATTGTAGTTCCTTTTGTGGGTTTAACCAATGTTATATTAAGGATCCTAAAAAGGTAACCCCAAAAAGGAACTACAATGGAGACTATAGGTAGGGTTTACCGGCCCAAGCCTAGACTGTCTGTCCGAAACCCTGGGCCCTGAACTGCGAACTTAAGTACAAAGAGTCGCAAAACCCCGAAGCCTGACCCGTGAACCGGGGCCCATCATTTTTGTTGGCAGTTCTTGCAGGTGCCCAAGGTCGTATTGGGTATCTGATCATAGTCTGCTTGCTGACTTTCATAAGGTTTCTGAAGTCCTAAACCCTGAGCCCCATTGACTTGAAGTGGCTTCCAAGGCAAAACCACTATGGCGAAGTCAGCAGCAGAGCCTTGGACGCAGGCTATCGCAAGGGGCCTTCAGAGGCACAGAAGCAGAGGGGCTCTTTCTACCTGACTTAGTTCTCCGATGTCCCTAAACCCTAAAGCCTTAACCCTAAACCCCAAACCCCGCCCCAGTACCTAACCTTTTCGACTTTGCTGGTCTCTTCGGATTTCGTGCTTTTTCGCAAGCATAGGACTCATTTGTTTGGGTTGCGGTACTTTGGTTTTCTCTGCGTGGCCCATGTAGAAAGGGGTGAAATTCCTGGTCTGCATATTGCGCGAAGGACCTTTACATGCTTCGCGCCATCTTCACACGCACATATCGCCACGAAGAGTGCGAGCGCTGAGGGTGGCAGACAAGAAGTATTGTTAGTACTATTCTTCTGATTATTTTTCTTATTATTATCACGATTATTATCACTTAAGTTATCATTATTGTTAGTACTATCATAATTACCATTAGAGACCCAGGCTTGTTGCTCAACCGTCACGAGTGGCAAAGGCACCGTCATGCTGAGTTCAGAGAGGAGGCGCTGTAGCTTTTGCAACCATGGGTAGTTCTCTAAATTAGGGTGCCTTTTAGGGTCCTGTTTATAAGGGTGCCGTACTGTGACGCAAAAGGGACCCTACTTTAGATAACTACCCACACAATCAGCTTGCGGTGCTGTGGTGAGGCTGTCGTAGTTCGTCGTCGTCGTAGTAGGAGCAGCAGCAGCAGATTGTGATCATCGTAGTCTTACGTGCATGCAAGCATTGGCTATACCACCCCGAATAGCCTGGTGAACCCCCAAGCCCTGAATGCTAAACCTCTACACCCTCAACCCTAAACTCTACGGGTTTAGGGCTTTGGGGTTTAGGGGTTAGGGCTTTGGGTTTAGGTTTAGGGGTTTAGGTTTAGGGGTTTAGGGCTTTGGGGTTTAAGGCTGCGGGGTTTAGGATGTAGGGTTTAGGGCTTGGGTTCGGGCTTTTGGGGTTCTGTTCACGACTTTTGGGACGGACCGTTTAGGTCTCTGGGGGCCTTGGAGTTTACAGTTTAGGGCATTAGATGATTTCTAGGACATCTTCAGGTGGGTAGTTACCGTTATAGGAGCCTTATGGAAGGTCTATATACCTTATAGAAGCCTTACAGAAGCCCTATATTCCCTAAACTCCCCACCTGTGGTTTCCCTGTAAATTAGATCATTCCGCCTTACAGTCCTTACAACAGGCCTCGGCAGGCTCCTTATTCCCACACCTGTCCCCGTGGTGAGAGGTCTCAGCACACTCATGGCGAGGAAAGAGATCGTGATTACAATAGTGAAGATGATTCTGCATAAGATGAAGGTTATGATGGCGATTTCTGGCGCTTGGTCTTAACCTATCAAAGCAGGCTCCTTCTCCTAGCTATGTTCCTGGTTCATGCCCGACTCGGTTAGGACGACTGCAGACAGCTTAGGAACAAATTCTTATTGTCCCATTTAAAGGCACAGGCCTTGCCATAGGATGTCTTCAAACTTAGCATAATTTCCCTAGTATGGGAGAGGGCTTATACTATAAGCCAGGGACCTAAAAACCCCAAAGCTCTAAACCCTAAACCGTTCTTCCGATCTAAACCCTAAACCCTAAACCCTAAAACCTAAAACCTAGCCCTAAACCCTAAACCCTAAAGTCCGAGGACACAGCGAAGACGACGACACCCGGGGCTTGCTGGGATTGGCGTGCCGTGAGCTGCAAAAAAGTGCCTAGAGACTCCAAAACCCCTTAATTACGGAACACACCCTAAATTATACTAGGAACCCCAATAAGATTTAAGGTATATTCCTTAATTAAGGGGTTTTGGAGTCTCTGGGTGTTTCGTGATCGACCCAGGGATTCTGAGGACTGCAGAATTCAGGTACACCCATCGATTTCGCGGTCATGCGTGGACGCGTGTGTGCGTGTACACACATATACATATTATTATTATATATATATGTACGTATGTATGCATGCATGCATGCATGCATGCATGCATGCATGCATGCATGCATGGATGGATGGATGGATGGATGTATGTATGTATGTGTGTGTGTGTGTACTTGGACAGTGAGACATAGACTTACACTTAAACATCTTGTAATATTCGTGCGGCCGTCGTGCAGAACCGGACCAGGTGCAATTCAGGGGTCTTGGTTCGCAGGGACATGCTGGTTTGGCAGGCCAAAAGGACGCAAGCATGCTGCGCGAGTTTTGGCGCGAAGCCCCAAAGCCTATTTCTAAAGCCCTAGAACCCACCGGAAAATTGGGCTTTAGAGTTCCGGGTTAAGGGCCACCCGGAATCCCCGAAACACAACGAAACCCTGAACCCCCAAGCCCCAAACACACCAAAACCACAGCGTCGCAAGCCAAAGCAAAGCGCGGGATGGAACAAGCGAGATGAAGACCAAAATGATGCTTCGAAGAACGAAACAGACTAGAATGACTAGAGACATGGCATGCAAGGTTTGAGTGTAGAGCTTAGGGTATAGGACTTTGCGCGTGTAGGATATATGGTTTAGGGCGTGGGTTTTAAGGTTTAGGACCGAGTGAAAAGCGCGTTTCTTCAGGAGCCAAGACATCTGCGACGCCTGGTCCGCATCCCACGGAGTGCCTTGGGCAGCCGTAGCCCAAGGGTTAGGGTTTAGGGTTTAGGGGTTTAGGGTTTAGGGGTTTAGGGGTTTAGGGTTTAGGGTTTAGGGTTTAGGGGGGGTTACAATAATGGATATAAGGGACACTATAGGCACTACTAGAATGTAGACTGAAAGGGTTACTATAATGGTTAGCATACTTCATAATGGATACTAGAAGGCCTTAGTATGGAAGCCTGGAAAATGATCATGGCTGCATGGATCAGTATAGGGGTTCTACAATAAGGGTGTTTTTTTAAGAGTTCTATGATGTAGGGGCCTGAATAGTTAGAATAGGGTTTTGGGGTATAGGATACTATAACTATAATAAGGAAGCCCCAAAATAGCATTGGCAATTATTTAGGCCCGTATACTACTATCACTGTACTAAGGAAGCCCCAAAATAGTATTGTTGGCAATGATTTAGGCCCCATATAATAGTATAGTGTCTCCGTCACGCCGCATCAAGCCGTGTTGATTGGCTTCAGCCGGTATCTTAATGTGAGAGCATACACCTACAGAGCGATGTGGGGGGTTGCCGAAAATAGGGGACCCTAATATAGAACCCTAAATAGTAGGATCCTTATTCTGAGGACCCCAAAATAAGGTACCCTTATTTTCGGAAAGGCCTATGTGGCCACAAGCCGGCGTCATGCCCGCATTCCCGGGCTTCGTGTAAGTAAGAACACCGTGCCCAAGACCCAACATGATCGTGTAGCATCTGTGTACGTATGTAACAGGAAACCCTCAAGCCTAAACCCCTAAACCCTAGAATCCCCCAAGCCCTATAAGCCCTAAACCCTGTAAACCCCAACCCCCTGAACCCTCAAGCCTAAACCCCTAAACCCTCAAGCCTAGGCCCCTCAAGCCTCACGAGGCCCGAAGCGCCAAACCTTAGTTACGCCGATACCCGACTTACCACCTAGGTCCCTGAGTAGTACCCTTTTGCCCTTTTTATTTTAGGGCCCCCTTACTAAAACCGAATAGTAGGAAAAAGGGTGCCCTTATTATAAAGAGGCTATTCAGGAACCAAGCCACAGAACTCTGAGCTCCTCTAGCGGCCCATGGAAGAGCAAGATGTAGTAAGCCTCTGGGGAACGTACGGTTGATGATATATACATCCTTAGCATTACCTTAAGGACCCTAAACTCTCGGAACTATGGTATATTCCTTATCAGGGGTACTGCAGGATTTAAAACATCGAAACACTAAACCCAAAACCCGAAACCCAAGACCCTAAACCCAAAACCCGAAATGGCTACGGCTCAAGCTGTTTGGGCTCATTAAGCACTTCTGTTAGCTCCAAAACTGTGCCTCTGCCACGGCCGACTAGGTGTGCGGCTACACGATTCTGATCTTCCTCGGCGCGCGTCGAACCTCCGGGGTGACTTGGTGCTGGTCTTGTGGCCTCTCCCCGCTTCTGCTCCCTGGTCTGTGGCTGGCTGGTGATCTGACATCTGGTGGTCTACTTGCTTCCCTTGGAGGTGGTTGTGGCCTTTGTGGGCGTCTACGGCGAGGGGTGACGTGGTGGCGTGCCTCGTGGTGCTTGTGCTCTTGCCTGGACTCCTTCTTCATCTTTCCCGTGGCATTCTTGGAGGGCGACTTTGTCTGGCGTGGTCTTCCTGGTTTGCCTGGACTCCTTCTTCGTCTTCCCCGTGGCATTCTTGGAGGGCGACTTTGTCTGGCTTGGTCTTCCTGGTGAACCTGGTGGGCCTCTTCGTTGTGGGTGGAATCTCTCTGACTTCTTGACGGGCGGTCTTCTTGCTCCAAGTGACGATGGATACAGCCGAGACGCAGCCAGCAGATATGGTTGTCGAGCACCGCTCTCCCACGGAGGTCGCCGATGAGTCCGAGCTGGGTGACCCGTTTGACGTGGACGACGATAACGCCCTCAACAAGCAGGGTGAGTCCACCATGCCTGTTAAGGTCAAGCAGGAGAAGAGGAAGAGGGAAAAGAAGTCTCGGTGTGAGGCAGCTGCCGCTCGCGCTGTTCCTTCAGAAGACGAAGGGGATCTCGAGAGCCCCACCAAGAGAGCGAGCTGCTCAGAAGAACGTCCACTTACTGCAAAAGACATCCGAGAGCTTCTCATGGGCCACGTCACAGAAATGAGAAGCGCCTGGAGTACATTTGAGGGGCGACTTGATCGGGTCGAACATGCTCAGAATCGCTGCTCTTCCGATGTTGCAGATCTTCAGGCTCGCACAGGGGTGGTGGAGAAGGACCTCCAGTTTCAGAGGACGGCCTGCCAAACGAACAGCACGAATCTTGAGCAGCTCACTGTGGAGGTGAAGAACATGAAGGTCCGCATGGAGGAGATCAGCAATCGTCCTGCTCAAGTCCCAGCACCTCCTGGTCCTCCCGCAGCTGCAGCACCCGGTGGCGGGCAACAGCAACCTGATCCGTGGGCCGAGTTCTTGAGGCAAAAGGGCAAACAGGTTGGGGTGAATGACTTTGGTGGGCGAGCTCAAGGGACTGCCGTCGCGGAGGGTGAAAAGGCTGATACCTTGTCCGAGGAGGAACGTCGCACTCTCGTGATTGGTGGGTGGCTGCAGGACACCCGCCGCAGCATCATCGAAGAAGAGGCGGGGGTGATTTTCCAGACTGCCGAGTTCAAGGAGATCCTGGATACGGAGAAGCTCACTATCTATGGCCCACGACGCTCAGTAGGGATGCTGAAATTTGTTAAAAGAGAGGGAGAGACTGAGAATGACATGCGCAACAGGATGTGGCAGATCGTTCGCGCCCTCTCGCAGATGAAGCATGTGTTGCCAAGTACGAAAGGGATGGGGGCGGACAAGGTGCTCTGGGCGAGCTTTGTTAAGACACGCGGGGCACGTTTGAGGAGCAGTCATGTCAGCATGATTCGCAGGGTGAGCATCGCCTTGGCGGTTGAGGCAGAGGCCAAGCAGGCAGGGGGTGTCACCCTGAACACGCAGGGGTCTGCATACGATTGTGACTGGAACATGGGCACAATTTGGTGTGGCCCCTATAAGTTGGGCAGCTCGTCCCATCGCGCACCAAAGGGCGAGGAACTCATCACCATGAGCGGGGGGTGGATTAGCCTCACTGCGGTTGCCAAGATAGCCTGCTGCTCCACCGACGAGGCCAAGCTGGCCTTCGAGAAGGAGCTGTGACAGGAGCCCGAAGGCCCGAGTTTCACCCCTTTGGAGGACCTTGCCACGGGAACGTCGCGATCGTCTTCTACGAGTCCTAAGGAACGTGGGGGGCGACTAACATCTGTGTGTGCAAAACACAAGTGGGGGCGACTTGGCCAGTGGAACCTCGCAGGCCAACCAGTAAGCCTCCTGGACGTTGCGGCAAGGGATCTTGATGTTGTTCTTGTACAGGAAGTCGCTCGAGGTCAACAAGGCTGGGATGACTTTGACACTGAAGAGTTTCACTGGGTTGTTCATCGTGATAGTGAACATTGGCGCGGAGTGGGGGTGGGAATCGCGAGTGATAAGTTCGACTCCATCGTGTTCAAGCAGGCCACCAAACGAGGAATCTGGGTCGTTGCTCGCATTCATGGGTTGGGGCGTGTTCTTGTTGGGTCCCTCCATGCCCATACTGGTGTCACGAACGCGGTCTACCAGGGTGCTGTGCTGGAATTTTTCAGCAAGTGTCCCAGGAAGTATCGTCATCTGCCCATGCTTTGTGGTATTGACGCGAACGAAGTGCCCCAGTGGATTGACAATGGAGAAGAAGGCCTGGAAATCGGATCCTGCAGCACGAACCTCAACGTTCTCGTACATGAAGCCTTTCGTCTAGGTGCCTCTCCCCTTGCGCCTGAGCCTGTGTTCAGAAACGCGTGGACCCACTTCCCTCGTGACACGGAGCGGGCGGGCAGACAAATCGACATGCTACTTAGACGTCATCTTCATGTGACGCCCCTTCAGATACATGCAGACCGTCGCTTGGCCATCGGCTCTGACCATGCACTTCTGATTGCGGAGATTTGGATTGCTGCACGGCCGTCGCGCATTAGGTGGAAGCATGATTCCAGGGCTCGTTGGGTTGTTGGGGAGTTGGAGCGTGTACCGATCGTTGACGAGGGTGAACTTGTCTACCTTGCCCAGAAATGCACGAGACCTCGATTCTCCCAGGCCTACAGAGACGATGAAGAGGTCCACGCTGCCATCACAGCGGCTAAGGAGAGCAACTCGCCCGCCGACTGGAAGAGGGTGTTTCGCATCCGCAAGGCCAAGCGCAAACACTGGCAGCAGACTCGCCTTTCGCGGGTGCTTGAGGGAGATTGGGAACAATACAGGAGCCTTCAGCAGGATAAGCGCAGGCGCAAGGGGTGGTGGGGCGACTTGCTTAAGGACAGAAGCTCCTGCCAGCTCACCATCGAGATCCAGCAACACCTTGAGGCCAAAATGACGGATGGTCGTCCTGACTTCGCATGGGATGAACGCCTTGAAGAGATGATCCGATCGTGCACCCAGGCCGCTGCCTTTGAGCCCTTTCAGCTGCATGAAGTCGTGACGGAGCTGAACCAGATGAAATGCCGGAGCGCGGTAGGTCCGGATGGCATTGGGGTGCACCTGTTGAGGACAATTGCTGCCGACGAGGAGCTGGGGGGTGACTTCCTGGGCCTCATCAACCACATTGTTGAGACGCAGCAGGTTCCTCGCAACTGGGGTCGAAGTTTTCTCGCCTTGCTCGCGAAGGTTCCGCTTCCTCAGCAGGCCAAGGATCTTCGACCTATATGCGTCTCGTCAGCCTTTAACAGGCTCGTCAACAGGCTGGCATGCTCGCGAGCTCTCCCTGCACTTCGTGTTGGGTCGAAGATTTCGTGCTGTGGGAAGGGGCGACAGTCAGCTGACCTTGTGGGGTGCATCTCGAGAATGAGAGACGTATGTAAGGAGTGGAGACTGCCGCTGCTTGTATGCAAGCTGGATGTGGCAGGAGCATTCGACAGGCTCGACAGGGGTGAAGTCGCCAAGTACTTGATCAAGAAGCTCGGGGGTGACGCTTCCCTCAACTGCGAGCTCAAGTACATGCTTCGGCAGCTCGCGACACACTCCCTAGTTGGATCTGTACCTGGAGGACATGAGATTCTCCTACGTCCCGATGTCGGTATTAAACAAGGAGCCCCTGAGAGCGCTGAGATCTTCGGCATGATCGTCGATAGCATGCTCTCAGAAGTAGCCGCCTGTAAGAGATGGGAGGACTTTGGGGCGCCCTTTGCAGACTTGGATGTCGTGCTCCTCTTCTTTCAAGATGACATTTTCATTCTCGAGACTGATCTCCCCAGGCTCTGCCGGAGGGTGAAGGTGGTCGATAGATGTCTTGCACGGGCCGGCCTTAAGCTTGCCACCGAAAAGACCAAGATCGTCGCCAACGAGCACTACACAGGCCCCCGCAAAGTCAAGATCCAGGACGACATTTTCACCATTGCGGACCGTGGTGAGGCCGTTCGGGTGCTCGGGGTGAACTTCTCCTTGTGCAGGGACGCTTCGGAGCAGGCCAAGGAAATTGTCTCCAGGACACGACAAGCAGCAGCAGAGCACAAGGACATCTTGACGGCCGCGGGCAGCTGGAGGAACAAGACTAACATCATGAGGACGCTCCTGGAATCTCAGTTTAACTGGATCGGGGGGGCGTTACATTGGAGTCAAGAGGACCTCCACAGTCTCAACCTCCTCCAGCTGCACACTTGTCGCTCCTCCTTTGGCCTGAGACGACATGCCGATGAATCTTGGGTTGAGTGGAACAAGCGATCCCTGCGCTTGGTGCGGCTGTGGTTGCATGCCAATCATGTTGCACGGTGGTCGGAACGCATCCTATCGCTGCAGCACATGCTGCATGGACATTGGGCGAAGAGGACGGAGGTTGTGGGAGGGCGTGCGCAGCCGTGCCCGCCGATGAAAGCTCTCCAATGGCGCTGCACTAGTTGGTGGCGTACACAGCAGAGCATGAGCCCCTCTATCTCGATGCGACACCCCGGCCGCTTTTATGCCAGCAACACTGAGCGCCAGCTTGCGGAAGCACATGGGCCCCTTTGGTTTGTTTGAGCGCAAGACAGACAGATGTGGTGCACTGATCGGAAAAGTTATGTCGAACACTGGGATGTGAGATGGGCCTCGGGGCGACAGCTCTCGCTCACAATGTAAACTCGTTTTCTCATGGGGATGAAGCCAAGTCTTCGCGCTTGCCTGATGCCATGAGTCCTCGTTTGTTGTGACCCCTGTTGCCCCACTACCTGGAGAACTGTCCTCCTGAACACGCCCTCTTGCGTTTTTCGCATCATCGTTGCCTTTGACTTGAATATGTACGACTCTTTACATTTTGCATGTCACGCCTACATTTTGGCCGGCCTGTGGACCCTCCAGTGATTCACTTGATGGTGCAGGTGCTGTACCAGCGGGTGCTTTTCTGGTTGCTGTCAGACTGTAGACAGCACTGCACTCTGGTTGTCGCAGGTGCAAATGTCCCGCCCCTTTGTCGGTGGCTCGAGTTTGAGGTGATCGAGAAAACTCACTGTGCTCCCTCCCTTCCTCGCCATGGCGTTCCTCCCGGGCGACATGCGGCCACTTCTGGGGGTGATACTCTTCGTGGTGCTCTTCCTCCTGGGCGGGATGGATGGTGGCGGACACAACCGAGGGCATGATACCGACGAGGAGATCGCCGCGAGGTCGGCTGAAGTATGGGCGGATACCTGGAATGCAGGTGCCCAGCCTGGATGGGAGGATGTGGATGAGCTGCACTTGCTGGCCGAGCAGCTCCCTCCCGAGCCGCCTGCTTCGCGGATCCAACCGGTTGCTTGGGACATGTCGGGCCCACTGCCGTCCGCTTCGACGGGGCTGACGCCTGCACAACATGTGGATGCTGCGGATGCCTCCGAAACCTCCTGGCCCTCTTCTTCCTCGAGCTCATCCTGGGGTGGTGACTTGCAGCAACAGTGGACCTCCAACTCCTGGACGTGGTCGAACTCGCCATCCTGCTCGTCATCGTGGGCGACACCGGCTTCTTCGTCTACGTGGACGGACTCGACTACGGTGACGGAGGGATGGGCGACTTCCTCTTCCGGGTCAACTCAATCCTGGTGGGTGACTTCGTGGACGAGCCCCACCCCCGTGAGCACCAATTTGGATGAAGAGATTTCACTAGGCCTACAAGGAGGCTGAGTTGCAGGCGGTCTTTGAGGAGGAGGAGACCTTTGAGGAGCACCTTGCACCGATCCCTGAGAACCTGCCCCTCCCCTTTGCAGTGGTGGAGAATGTGGACAGCACCGAGGAGATCGAGGACCAGGCTGCCGAAGATGCTGAGGAACCAGTCAATGACTGGTGGATGATGGTACTGGATCGCCGACCCCTCCGTGGGCGCCCTCGTGATGACCTTGGAGAACAACGACCTGCACATGGCCGCGATCCTGGATCCCTTGCCACCCCGAAGAGCCGGCCACGAGCAAGTGATGAACAATATGCGGTGGACGAGTCGGCGCCGGGCATTACTCAGAGAGGTGACAAAATCCGTCCAGGAGTCGACCGCTGGCATTATCTTGATGGCAGCATCCGCAACCGGGGACGAGAGAAGAACGAACGGGAGATATCGTTGGACGTGCCAGCGAAGGTCTCCCTCTACAACAAATCGTCGTCCGCCTGGGGTGGTGCTAGTGAGGGTGAAGTCACTACGACCTGTGCCACGGGGACAGAATGTTCAGCGACTTCTTCTTCTTCGGAGTCGCCTTCTACTGTGACTGTGGGCTTCTGGCGACACGGAATATGGGTTCCGCGAGCTAGGACAGCCGCTGAGCAGCGAGCACACCGTGGAGGGAGCGGACCAAGAAGGACCCAGCGCAGGGCGGACAGAGTAGCTGCGTACCACGACGGTTCCTGGAAGCCGGCATGGTTGACCAGATACATCGATGATCGACGTATGCGAGAAGCTGCTCTACAGGGTGGAAAAGGGGGAGCAACCTCGGAGGCAGCTTCTGGAGACACACAGCTGACCGAGCCGGACGCCGAAGCCGTGACCACCTCTGACCAGACAAAGGAGACCCCCGCTGTGCAGTTGGGTGACGTCTCGATGGATCCCGTGTCCTCAAGTGATCCCACAGCGCAGACCGACCCGGACCCATGGGCTGGCCAATGGCAGGGTGACCCTTCCTGGTGGAGCTGGACTTCGTCATGGTGGAATGACTGGGGTGGTCAGACTTCTTCTTCCTCTTCTACCACGACCTTGCCTGTGGGGGATGAATTCCTGCCGAATCAGGCCTTCTTCCCCATTGTGCAGCCAATTGACGAAGAGCACAGTTGGTTGATGCACCTCACAGGGGCGGAGAGACGCATGCTCCAGGAAAATGGGGTGCAAGGCCCGGTCATAGAGCGTATTGATGCTCTGCTCTTGCAACTCGACGACTTCGCGGCGACGGATGCTGGACCGGAGGCCAGGTGGGGGTTGGCGAGGCTCGTTCGTAGAGCCGATGAGGGGATGGTGGCCTTGCAATGTATCCTGGATGTCTTGCTCCGAAGATTACGACCGCGTGGTACCTGGCCAGTCTTGCGGACACCCGGGCGGGAAGTAGACCAGCTAAGACACTTCCAGAGGGCGAGGAACTATGGCTCTGTCTTCGAGGACACGCTCGCCCACCACTTGAACGTCCCTCTACAGCCGCGGGAAGATGGGCCCAACGTTGGTTACTCGCCTGAAGCAGCAGACTTTGCCTCGCCCCCGGGTGATGCAGAACATGAGGAGGGTGCCTCTTCGTCCTCGTCCGCTGCACCACACCCGACAAGGAGTCGCTCCAGGTCTCGTGGGCGCACGGCGGACGCAGATGCTGCGGCAGGTGCAGATGGTCGTGAAGGAGATGTAGGACTACCACCTGACGCGACCTCGCCAGGACCCACCCTACTACAGAGAGCACTTGCGGGTGAACTGCTGGGGATATGGAGGGAACCTGATATGGAGCCGACCTCTAGTACGACAACAGGGATGGTGCCTCCGTCGGTGTCTACCACGACCTGGTTGGAGGGTGCGTCTTCCGCGACTTCCCCATGGCCCTCCATTCCCACAGCAACCTGGCCCTCCTTTGGCACGAACGCCTCCCTGGGGCGATCCTTGACCTCGACATCCGCATGGACCTGGAACTCGAGGTCTACGTCGTGTACTTCGTCTACTTCCACATGGGCTTCTTCGCGGAGTACATCGGGGGAACCTTCGGGAGGAAATGAGTCGTCACTGGAAGGCTGGGGGACGTCGAGCCAGGGACTCTCACATCCCACCACGACCGTGACTGGCAGCGGCGGATGGTATGGAGCATCGCTGTGGCCGCTGTGGTCTGCTAGCTCGACATCAACGACCACTTCCTCCTCGCAGATCGTGGAAACCTGGCCTGATGACGTGGTAGAGACACCGTGACACGCGAGCTGCAGGTGGCGTCGGCAGCGGATGTAGTGGATGTGCTTCAACGACTCCTTTGTCGCTCACGAGCTCTACTTCACCACCAACGCCTTCTCCTTGCCGCATTGGAAGAACTCCTGCCCTGGCTCTCAGTGAACCCAGGGGCCGAGATCCTCAATGGGCCGACGATGGACAGTCAGATATGGAGAAGCATCACGCGGGAAGCTTCGTTTGGTTCCAACCCCTCTTCGACTGGCACGGGCACGCTTAATACGGCCCCAATGGTCCTGGTCCAACCTGGCCTCCCGACGTCACACCAGGTTATTCGGGACGAGTTGCCTGGGATGAGCTCGACGGTCATTGCCAATCTTCGTCGTCGTGCCTGGCGTCGCCATGTGGAGAACCTTGGACCGCCTGGGGAGAATGTGTCTTCTCCTGAAGACCAGGGTGGTGCGGACACCGACCTCTATCTCGTGCAGATTGACGCCTCGCGCCGTGTGCCTGTCCCCCCTGGTGCTGAGGAGTTCCGCTGCATGCCTCTGCGCCTTCATGGTGGTCGTCGACGTGCTCGCGCACAACGCCTACATGCTGGACTGGAGAATCGTGGTGGCGCCACTCCCTTGCTGATGCGTGGACCGCTGGCTTCTCCCTTGGCTCGTGCATCCTCGACTCGTGAGACTGATGGGCATGCTGGTGCTGAGTGGGCTGGCTCCTCCAGTGATCGCCGTCGTCGTAGTCCCGTGAGTCTGCCTGCGCGTAGGGATCGTAGTCGGAGCAGGGATGATTCCACTGCCTGAGAGTACAGTGTATGTCAGCGGGCGATGGCTGCTTTGCTTGTACACTCGTTGTCCCGTGTGTACTTGTGGAGGCTCTGCTGTAAGTGCAGATGCCTTTTGGAGTGTATGCCTGCTACAGGTAAGCCTTTGGAGCGACGCGGATGCTGAGTGAAAGGGGCCACTACACTTTAAAAAAAAAACCCAAAACCCGAATAGTAAGCCTCTGCGGAACTATACTTGGAGGCCCAGAAAAAATAGTAAGTGGGTTATAAGTTGTAAGTACCCTAAATGGAGTTACCCTAATTATAACCCTACTTACTTATAGCCGACTTACTAAGTCCC